GCCCACATCCTGCGCTTTAGCCCCTAACCCACAACCCAACCTTGTTAATGGTCACAGGTCTTGTGTGTTACAAGAAACATTAGTCCTTCTGCACTGACTTTTTATGAAGCAGTCTGAAGTATTTAAAAAATCTAACTACATTAACACCGGGAACCGCCCTCCCCAACAACAGTATTTTCAAGAGGTTAAATTGGCAACAAATACACCCATTAATCAGTTGCTGATTCAGATACAATTCAACAATTCCATAAAGTGCTTTGCGTCCCCTTGGGAGAAAAATGCTACATAATAAAATAGATCACTCTAATGAAGAAAAACTTCTAAAAGAGAATGTATGTCAGTAAAATGCAGACAGAAATCTGTACTATTTACTTTATCCATTGCAGCCCTGATGTGTGAATTTCTTTATACAGGTTCCTGTGTTAAAAATAAATAAATCAACATGTACTGAAAATGAGTCATAGATCCAGAAATACTGCTATGTGCATTTATCTCATGTTAAAATTTCGATTCAGAGTTCTCACAGTTTTTTGTTGAGCTCATGTGTCATGAAATAAATAAATATATGAAATAAAACGCTAAACTTACAAACACTTAGGTAGCCAGTTTTCTGCTGAAATTTCCTGGCCCCATATAGATTATGGTTATTAGTATTATATTATTATTAATAAGAAGAATAATTATGATAATAATATCCTTTTAAGAACACAGCTTCAGAAATAAAATGCAAGCATGGCGGACAATTGCCGTCATGTGTCCTTGAGGAGATTATAATAAACTGTACATTGTCAAGGATTCTGACTGGGTTATTTACTAAGCTGTGAACAATCTAGCATTTAAAGTGAATTCAAATTTCTCAAGTCCCTAATGTTTCCAATTTGGCTATGTTGGCCTATTATTATTATTATTATGTTATTATTTATATAGCGCCATCAAATTCCGCATCGCTTTACAATGGGTGGACGAACGGACATGTAGTTGTAACCAGACAAGTTGGACACACAGGAACAGAGGGGTTGAGGGCCCTGCTCAATGAGCTTACATGCTAGAGAGAGTGGGGTAAAATGACACAAAAAGGTAAGGATAGTATTAGACAAGTAACAGTTGCAGAAGAGGAATCAGTCAGGAGCTATAAACAGTTTAATTGATACGCTTTTATGAAGAAGTGGGTTTTTAATGATTTTTTGAAGGAGTGGAGACTGGGTGAGCATCTAACGGAGGAGGGAAGCGAGTTCCACAGGAACGGTGCTGCCATAGAGAAATCTTGAAGGCGAGCATCAGAGGTGGAAGTACGGACAGAAGAGAGACGTAAGTCTTCAGCAGATCGTAAGGGCCTAGACGGGACATCCTTGTGTATAAGGGAGGATAGGTAGGTGGGAGCAGCATTATGTAGTGATTTGAAAGCAAGAACCAGAATTTTTGAGTTCTATATTTTATAAGAAGCCAATGTAGGGACTGACAGAAGGGTGAGGCATGGGAGGTGCGGGCGGACAGGAAGATGAGCCTCGCCGCCGCATTCATTATAGACTGTAACGGCGCAAGTTGGGAGCACGTAAGACCACTGAGAAGCAGATTACAGTAGTCAAGGCGAGAAAGGACAGTGGAATGGACCAACACCTTAGTCGCATCTGGGGGCGGATGCGCGCAATGTTTTTGAGATGGAAATGACAGGATTTGGCAATAGATTGAACATGAGGCTTGGAGGAGAAGTCGGAGTCAAAGAGAACACCTTGGCAGCGAGCCTGCGTGGTGCAGCTGATAGTAGCACCGTTGACTTGGAGGGAGACAGGCACAGGTGTAACAACACTTGAGGGAGGAAAGACCAGAATTTCAGTTTTGGTCAAGTTTAGTTTAATAGAAAACTACCTTGAAAAAAATAATACTTTAATGAATAAGTCAGTGAATTTTACATTTCAAGAAAAAATATATATATTTACAATTATAATTGATTTGAAGAATTTGTGATATTTCAGATATCTTGGCCTGACATGTAACATTCCTTTTACATTCCTGAGAATTCATAGATTAGTGGATTACCCTACTAGAAGAATGTATGGTGGATATATTTGAATCCACAATATGGATGGTTCCTCCTACATTTATTGGGTGCATTTTTTAACAGACTTGTAAGAGAACAGATTACTTTCTAAAAATCCTTGACCTGGTAATTTTAAAAACATTTGAAATTTTTATGTCTGCGTAAATGTGATTATAACACTTTAGGGGGTTATACACTAAAACTAACCAGAAACCATGCAAACCTCCTCCAAATACCCTGCAGTTTATCCTCCTCAACCAAAATTCAGTGTGCACTCTTGAACACTCGCTCCATTTGTAGTAATATGAAATCTACAGCTATACATGACCTCATCATCTCTAACTCACTCACAATACTGGCACTCACTGAGACCTGGCTGTCCCCATCCAATACCGCTACTCCTGCTTCTTTATGTTTCGGTGGTCTACAGTTCTCCCATACTCCTAGACTCGACTGTAAAGG